AATCAGTGCAATGCAATACCTCGGCTCCAGACGTCCCGCCCCCTCCACAGACGCTCCGCTGCACCTCTCCCAGATTGTAGCTGACTGCAGACAGTGCCGCAGACAGGAGGCCGGCTTGGTTTGTTTTTATGACCGAAATTGCAGAAAACAACTTGTGAAGTTTGACCTGCTAGAAGAGCGAGGTGCCCGAGAACGCTGGGACCCTTTTTCCACCTGGATCTCCGCTCTTTTTGGCCCTCATGTCCCTCCGTCGTCGGACTAAACTCGCCCCCACTTCCTCGCCGCCTCGGCCGTATCTAGACCCACAGCGTGTAGCACAGACCACGCCTCAATACTGAGCATAATTTAAAAATGTCTGCATCAAGCTCACTGCAACACACTACTGTAAGAGTATAACCAGGAAGCGAGGTAGGAGGGCAAAATAGTTTTAGCGCCACCGCAGCACGGGAGGGAGAATTACGCCCAGGAGCAAATGGATAAAAATAGACCAGAGGAAAAAAAAAACATGAATGGATTCTCTTGCGGACGTATCGATGCATCGGATCGTCGGTTGTTGGATCGATGCATCGATACAAAACGATTATTATTTACACCCCTTTTCAGAACTGAGAGTAAAATGAACCATAACATCTAGAATATCGTCAGCAGCAAGTCAAAAAGCCATATGGATTGTTTAGCTCATAAATCTTTCATTTTTATCTTTGCTGATGGATGCAGCATCACTGGGAGACGGCTCTACTGTACGTTGCTTTGATTTATTTATTTTGCATCAGGTCCTGTTTATATTTCCTAAATAGGAAATTATACATTTATCTAAATGTGAATCCTCCTCTTTTCTTTGACAGGGTCTTAAAAAGAAACTGGAAATATTTCAACATTTTAAATGTTATTTAGTTAATATTTGCCTTTCAGTTCTTTAAGGTTTTCTAAAACAGACGCAGGCGTTCGATGGGTTCCTGATAAGAGTTTAACTCCGTCTGGACATGCAGGGGAAAATTTGGCACTATTTGTTGGATATTAGGGGTGGAAGCGTTTCCTCCTGACAGCTCAGAGATAAAGTCACTACAGCCTCCTGTTTACGCTGCTGCCATGAGGCTGATGCAGAGCTCTACAGCCTGTGAGCAGTGCTTTAGCCTCATTCTCCAGAGCCTGAGGTAAACATTAACAAGGGTTACAGAGGTCACTCCAAGCACTTGTTGGTCCTCAGCTCTTTGGTGTGTGCCGTTCTGTTTGAGAACCCGCCATGACCCCCCCCCCCCCCCCCCCCCCCCCCCCCAACCTTCGTTTCTTTTCTTTGTTTTTCCAGATTGATTGGTTTGATACACACATGGGTGAAGTTATCTTTAAGGCTTATATTTCTTCTGGTCATGAAAAGCTAGAGGCAGATTTGGTTTAAAACTAGAGATGGCCTAATATTTTTATCTTGTATCGATCCCTCTGGTGGAAAGCAAGAGTTTCCTACACTACGATGAATCTAAATCATATAATCCAATCGTTATCATGACAGGAAGCCTGACTGGTCACGTTTTAATCAACATTGAGCCGTACAGATGGTTGGTCACTCTCCTTCAGATTTTGGTGGTTTGCAGCTTCTTTAGAAGCAGTCATTCCAAATGGCCCTTCCCAGTCAAACTGTGAATGGCAGCCCACTTCCCTCCAACTCCCTGTAAAATCCCCTCCAACTTCCAGCCCCTGGAGTGAGCCCCTCTTGCATATTTTTTTGCTCTGTCTCCACCCTTTCACTGAATTACAGGGTCTGACCAGGAGATGACTCTTCTCTTTAGATCTGAATGTCTACAAATCATGACACAAATACTATTGTGTCATAAAAGTAATTTCCCTCTGGGATTATTAAAGTTGTGTGATTCTAATTTTGGTACAAATATTGATGTTTTAAAAAGGAATTGTAGAGGACCAGCCAAGTTTCCATCAAAGAAAGTGGGGAAATTTTGAACGGCTACTACTGTACTTCCAGTCAGCGACTGCAAAACAAAACTGGGAATCAAAAATAAAAAATTAGAATTTTTCAGAGAGATTTGAAAGGTTATAACCAGTTCCAATTGGTTGGGTGTTCATTGCCACTTCTTAACTTCTGAAACATTTTATTTTATTTTTTTTGTTTATTTGATAGGGACAATGGGTATGTTTCATGAATCATGTCAGACACTACAACTTTTTAGCTAAGGCCAATTCTCAATGCCTGTTCCCAGTTAGGCTTTTACAGAAAACACAGTGACTGTACAGGTGCTGGTCATAAAATTAGAATATCATGAAAAAGTAGATTGATTTCAGTAATTCCATTTAAAAAGTGAAACTTGTATATTATATTCATACATTACATACAAACTCATATATTTCAGATGTTTATTTTGTTTAATTTTGATGATTACAAATGACAACAAATGAAAATCTCAAATTCATCATATCAGAAAATTAGAATATTGTGAAAAGGTTCAAAATTGATGGCCCCTGGTGCCACACTCTAATCAGCTAATTAACTCAAACCACCTGCAAAAGCCTTTAAATGGTCTTTCAGTCTAGTTCTATAGGCTACACAATCATGGGGAAGACTGCTGACTTGACAGTTGTCCAAAAGACGACCATCGACACCTTGCACAAGGAGGGCAAGACACAAAAGGTCATCGCTAAAGAGGCTGGCTGTTCACAGAGCTCAGTGTCCAAGCACATTAATAGAGAGGCGAAGGGAAGGAAAAGATGTGGTCGAAAAAAGTGTACAAGCAAGAGAGATAACCGCACCCTGGAGAGGATTGTGAAACAAAACCCATTCAAAAATGTGGGGGAGATTCACAAAGAGTGGACTGCAGCTGGAGTGAGTGCTTCAAGAACCACCACACACAGACGTATGAAAGACATGGGTTTCTGCTGTCGCATTCCTTGTGTCAAGCCACTCTTGAACCACAGACAGCGTCAGAAGCGTCTTGCCTGGGCTAAAGAGAAACAGGACTGGCAGCTGGTGAGTGGTCCAAAGTCATGTTCTCTGATGAAAGTAAATTTTGCATTTCCTTTGGAAATCAAGGTCCCAGAGTCTGGAGGAAAAGAAGAGAGGCACTTCATCCACGTTGCTTGAAGTCCAGTGTAAAGTTTCCACAGTCAGTGATGGTTTGGGGTGCCATGTCATCTGCTGGTGTTGGTCCATTGTGTTTTCTGAGGTCCAGGGTCAACGCAGCCACATACCAGGAAGTTTTAGAGCACTTCATGCTTCCTGCAGCTGACCAACTTTTTGGAGATGCAGATTTCATTTTCCAACAGGACTTGGCACCTGCACACAGTGCCAAAGCTACTAGTACCTGGTTGAAGGACCATGGTATCCCTGTTCTTAATTGGCCAGCAAACTCTCCTGACCTTAACCCCATAGAAAATCTATGGGGTATTGTGAAGAAGAAGATGCAATACACCAGACCCAACAATTCAGAAGAGCTAAAAGCCACTATTAGAGCAACCTGGGCTATCATAACACCTGAGCAGTGCCACAGACTGATCGACTCCATGCCACGCCGCATTGCTGCAGTAATACAGGCCAAAGGAGGCCCAACTAAATACTGAGTGCTGTACATGCTCATACTTTTCATGTTCATACTTTTCAGTTGGCCAACATTTCTATAAATCCTTTGTTTTTATTGGTCTTCAGTAATATTCTAATTTTCTGATATGATGAATTTGAGATTTTCATTTGTTGTCATTTGTAATCATCAAAATTAAACCAAATAAACATCTGAAATATATGAGTTTGTATGTAATGTATGAATATAATATACAAGTTTCACTTTTTAAATGGAATTACTGAAATCAATCTACTTTTTCATGATATTCTAATTTTATGACCAGCACCTGTACACAAGAAACAACAGAACAAATTACACACTAAAACATAACAGAAGCAAGATCAGGTACTTTAGATTATTAATGTTCACATGTCTGACCTCTCAATAAAAAGTCTTTAAGTTTATGTTTAAAAAAGGACCCAGTTTGACTCTCCCTTCAGTTCTGCAGGTAATGTATTCCATGTTCTGGTGCCTTGTACAGTGAAAGCTGATTGACCGAAAGAGGTTTTGCATCTGGGTACTTGACAGTTTCCACTGTGAGCTCCTCTTGTGACTGAGCCCACAGCTCTGAGATGAACTACACAGTCACTCAAAACCTTAGGGGCCTTATCATGCAAGCATTTGTAAACCAGTTTTAACAGAGCAAATTCTGTTCAAGTTCTCGAAATGTAGTATTTTTAAATTGTTCAGACTAACACAGTGATGAGATCTGATTGTTTTTTTTTATCTAAGATTTTATAGCTCTATTGTATATCATCTGAAGAGGCTTGATAGTAGTGCTTGTGGCTTGTGACCAAGAACTAATGCAGTAACTTATATGGGAAAAGATCATGGAGTACACAAAACTGTGAGCAGCGTGAAACGGTAGGGAATCTCTAATCAGTTTGAATGTGTACAAGTTTGCTTTTGTTACTCTGGACACTTTTTTTGCGTGGCTGTCAAATTTCAATTGTGAGTCAAGTATTAGTCCTAGATACTTGGTTTCTGAGACCTGCTGGATTCTAGCTCCATTTATCTGTAAATTTAGTTCTTGAGATACAGGTATGGGCTTGGTCCTTTTTCTATTCAGTGTGAGTGGAGATAAATATAATCGGGGCGTCTGGGTCATTAATGAAAGTATTTTCCTTTCTGACCAATTCGGCTCACTGCCACCATGCTGTAAATTAGACATAAAGTCGTGTAAAGGAGTCGCTGACGCTTTGCTCGGTGTATAAAGTCAAACCAGCTCTGTATCCTCATGGTGCTTCGGTCCTTTCATCCATGCTGCTGCTGCTCATCTTCATCGGGGGGGTGGAGATCAGGACGGGGGGCAGAAAGCAGCTAAAATATAGAAACGATGTATACGTCTGGAAGGCAAACATGGCTGTGGTGGGCTACCTGCACCGATTGGACATCTTTGCTCCACTAGTTGTGATGTCATATTCTCTCTGCTTGCAGCTCTCTGGGGGATGCGAGCTGACGGTGGTCCTCCAGGACTTCACCGCAGGATGCAGCACAGAGCTGTCCATCAGCACAGGTGAGGCCGAGCCGCACATTCCTCCTGGAGATCCAGGTGGGATTTCTACAGACTGAGCTAACATCTGTCTCATCTTATCTCCAGGTCAGACCGTGGAGCTGTTGGAGCGGCCCACGGAGCGGCCCGGCTGGTGTCTGGTCCGGACCACCGACCGCAGCCCGCCTCAGGAGGGGCTGGTTCCCAGCTCGGCTCTCTGCGTGTCTCACTCGCGATCCAGTGTGGAAATGGACTGCTTCTTCAGCTCAGGGAAAGGTAGGACGAGCCGCCTGCTCCATGAACACTCGCGGTGAAACGTGCAACTCTCTCTGCTGACTGACTGCCGTGATGCAATGAGTGGAGCGTTGGATGTTACCTGCTGTGATCTGATTGGCTGCAGCTGAAACCGCTGGGCTGTGACCTGCAGCATGTAGGAAGAAACAAAACTATAGAAAATAAATAATGAATGGATTATAGGTTCATCTTATTATTTCTATTTTTAAACTTTTATTAAGAAGAAATATTTAGAATAAGCAAAGTTCCCTGCTTCTGCTTCTCTGGTCAGAGAGCAGAAATGGATTTATAGGCTTCATATTTTTGGATTGTTTAATGTAGAAGGTTTCAGAAGCTGCAGCTTCTGGGCTAAACGTCGTCCTGTGGTAGAAAGGCAGGGGCTGGTAGTTGGTAAAGCCGCAGTACTTGGATGTTTTAATATATATAATATATAATATAATGTTTTTAAAGTCGGTTAGTGGAATAGCAGGGTGTGGAAAAACAGCTTCAGAAAAAAACTCATCCAACAACAAGTAAGAAAGCATGTGATGCCCACAAAAACTTTAGCTGGCTTGGATCTCACGAGGTTTTGGCTCGTTCATCTTTCTGAGTTCTGGTTTTAGTCTCGAGGCTCAGCTCTCCAGCAGCTTTAGGGAAGGGGGCCAAACTCACCATAGATCCAAACTTCCTGTTTCACACCTTGAATCATTGTCTAGTTACCTTTAATCATCATTCACACTTTGCTAATCACTGCAGAATTCCTAAATTAGCAAACTTTCACTAGTATTCACACATTTATGCCAGACTTTTTACATTTATTTTATCCATTTTCTTTTAAACCCGTCATCTTTTCATTGCCCCATGATATTAATGGTCATTAGTGGCCTCTGTCCTGAGAAATCAACTTTTTAAGCTTCTGTCCATTTCTTTTAATACTTTGCATTCTTCAAAATAAATCATGAACAAAATAGTAATTGGCTTGATTCTTGCATCTCTGATTAATCCTTGTGAGTTCTGCTGTCCGGGCATCAGCACCTCCCTCACCGAACAGTTGGAGAGTTTATTCCTGCAGGAAGCAGATACCTGAACCTGGCTGTTCCACACCGTAATCAAAGATATGAGGCGTGATGCGAGGAAGAGCCGGAGGATTAATATGAAGCTCTTTTTTAGCAGATAACCTGAACAGAGCGAAACCTTTCCACTGTCTAAGTAGTAGGGCTGCAACTAACGGTTAATTTGCCGACCGATCGATCTCTTAATAACAGGATAGTAAAAGGTGCTTTAAAGAAGTTTTATACAGATTTAAACCAGGGGAAACTAAAATGTTTCTACTTCAAGAGTTCTTGATAGAGCATATTTACAGACAGAAATGTTTTATTTTTATTTTAAATGCAAAATAACAATTTTCATGTAATTGCTGCTCAAGGTGGGTCGCTCTGTCAGCTAAAGGCATGTTTCAGAGTCTCTATACTCCAGTTAACAATTGGTAGATTACTAAATTAGTTGATGATTGTTTAAATAATTGATTAATCACAATTAATTGTAACTAAATAGTAAAAATAAGTTTGTTCAGCCTTCTGAAGTTGCTTGATACGAGATACGTCATGAAATGGGCGGCACCCAGGCAGGAGAGAAGACTTTGCATCAAAGGAAAGTGTTTTATTTTGGAGTGGGGAAAAAAAACACACACCATATTTAAGAAAAAATAAGTATTAATGAACAATTTAAAAAGTAGAAAGTTTAAGTGTCCATCCTCTGAAGGAACATGCTGCAGGGTCATGAGCAGTCATGGTCGGTGAGGGTTGATCCAGAAGATTAAATTACTGAAGAAGCAGATGGTCGGATGACAGAAAGACGTCGGACCACACAGTGCTTTGCAGTTTCAATCTGTTCCTAAATGCTGCGATGACGTTGGGATTGAGCTAAACTGAATGCTAACTCTTTGGTGCTGGAGGACGTTTTCTCTTTAAGTGGACTTGTAGCAAAAGGGGGATTTAAAAATCATCAGATGATGCCAGTTTCTGAGAGCCTGATGATCTCTGCTAGCACTGCAGTGAAGTGAAAGTCAACCTCAAACTGATATCTAGCTTTCTCCATGGCAACCCCTGTAAACATGTCAAACTTGCCTGGTTGAAGATTTGTTTTTGTTGCAGCGGCACAGATGAGTGTCTGTGTACCCTGCAGATGGCGCTGTTGAGCCGTTTGAGCCCCCATCAGGTCCTGTTCTATTTAACAGTGGCAGGAAGGCATCATGATACCCTGCAGCAGTTTGTTTTCCGTCATTGCTCATCTTATCAGGACTTTTTCAGACTTTGAACCCAGCTGTTGGAAACGTCCCACCTTCCAAACAAAAGTCTTTCTGTTATTGAACAGGCATGGATTTAAAGCCTGTCGGAGATCTGTGACTGTACAGGAGATTCCTCCTCGCTGGAGCCTCTGACACCACACACACACACACACACACACACACTCGTTCTGCTATATATAGTGAGGACCATGTATTGACTCCCATTGACTTTTATTGATTTTCAGTCAGTCTCAAACCTTTCTATGCCATAACCCTAAAACTGACCCTAAACCTAACCATTACTAATGCATACCTCACCCTAATTGACACCGTAGCCCTAAAACCTAACCATTGGCAAAATACCTTGTGAGGAACAGCAAAATGTCCTCAATTTGCAACATTTGGTCCTCAGTCTGATGTCAAATTGTAAAAATGGTCTTCACTCTGAGGGCCAGACAGTTACAGACACACACAAACAGTGAGATCTGCTCATTTGCCTGCCACGGCTGTAGTTTACATTGCTGTACTGTAGATGCAAATGGAATAACTGGAGCCTCTTCAGTCTGAAATGCACACAGCTCCTCTGCTGTAGGTTTGGTTGGATGATATTTGACCTGCTGTGTTTCTAGCCAGTGCATTCCTAGCTACACTGTAACGTTACTGCAGTAACCTACCCAGAAAGCAAAGAAAAAGTCTTTCACGCTCAGCCTAGTTGGTGCCTGACTAATAACATCCACCGTTAGTCAGGGTCAGACTGAAGATGCTTCTCTTCCCAGCTGCTGCAGTAATATAAGATACTGAAAAAAACTTAAATCACACGTGATGCTGTAAGTGCAGGAGTTTGCAGAGTTTTTTAAGCCTCTCTGCCTCTTTGTGTGTGTGTCTGTGTGTGTGTGTGTGTGTGTGTGTGTGTGTGTGTGTGTGTGTGTGTGTGTGTGTGTGTGTGTGTGTGTGTGTGTGTGTGTGTGTGTGTGTGTGTGTGTGTGTGTGTGTGTGTGTGTGTGTGTGTGTGTGTGTGTGTGTGTGTGTGTGTGTGTGTGTGTGTGTGTGGTTGGGCAGCAGGTGTCTTGTGACTGCTTCATAAAGTAGGTCTCCTTGTCCTTTCCAAGACACTCTGAAACTCTTAAAGTGAAGGGAAAGGAAGAATAGAGCAGATTAAACGACCCGTATTTAATCATAATTATTCACTTCCTCAGACGGAAAGGCTTTCATTTCTTTCAGGCGCTTCTTCAGTTACAGAAAACCTGTAGAAGAGAAACTGCAATAATTCTCCTTTGAATTTCTTTATACCTTTATCCTCGTTTCTAATGCTGGCTTTAATCGAAGCAGCTGTGGTTGGTAACTGTTGATTTGTTGCTTATCTGGGTTTCTGCCTCTCTAACCTTAGTCATGAAGCTGCGGTATGAAAAGCTGCAGTCAAAGTGTTTCCATCTAAAAGTTGCCAGCTCCTGCAGGGTGTCACTAGAAGGAAAGGTGAATAAAATGGGACACTGCGGTGAAACGGTGCTGCTGAATCACTTTATCTAGGCTACGTCCTCATGTGTTTCTGCTGCTGCAGAGCTCGTCTGGATCTGCTCACCCAGCTGGGAGGACCATGCAGAGAGATGCTAAACGTCAGCTAACCTGAATACAGTTATCATTAATCACCTGTAGCCCCATGGATGATGGCATCAGTACTAAAACCACTGCAACCCATGAAGTCAGAGCTGGATTGACAATTTATAGGAGACGGAAAAGTTGGTGAATTTAGAAAAAACTGGATCAATTTATTAATAATTATTAATCAGTTTCTATCATGGCAGATCAGAATTCAGCCTTGTTCCACATTGATACTTCCTCTGCATTTTTTTTCCCTTTAAAAGTTTCATTTTCTGTCTGACCCAAACCTCTTGGAAGAATGGAAATAATCCTAAATAACCCTGCGGGGGTTAAGAGTCATTGGGGGCTCTTAACTTTGGACGGATTTGATTTTACTAAAACTAAAACAATTTACATGAAGTTAAATTTTGCATTGAACCAGATTCTTTTTACCTTTGAAACTTTTTTTTTTTTTTTTTTTTTTTTTTTTATCTACAGAAAACCTTTTAGGACATAATGATGATAATTAGCATAATTAGCACATAATGTAGCTCTGTTGATGATTCTGATTCAATTTAGTTTATTTTCAAATTTATTTCTACAGCATCAATTCACAACACATATCATCTCAAGGCACTTTACAGAGTCAATTCAACCAGATCATACAGTCGGATCGATTCAAAGTTTTCTACTAAGGAAAACCAGTTGATTGCAACGACCCATTGACTCTTCAGCAATCCCTCACACCAGGCATGATTGGAGATGAAAAACTCCAGTAGAACCAGGCTCAGTGTGAGCGGCCATCTGCTGAGGCTGACTGGGGTTTAAGGAGACAGAAACAGACATAGAAAAAGATGCATAGATACAAACGCAACTGTCAACCAGCTCCACAGGCGGCCCTGTCCAGGAAACACACAGCCAGGCAGACGAGCTCCAAGCCAGCTCCCATGTCAGAGGATGAAGAGAGCACATCCAGTTAGTCACAGTCAGAGAAACAGGACTACACTGGAAAACAGGCCAAACTCAAACATCTATAAACAAAGGTGTGGATGGCAGAAGTACAGCTGACATCTCTCTCTAGAATGGTTTCGCAGACCCTCATTAACCCTTCTTCTCTTCTTCTGAAAGGTTGGACTTC